TGTTTCAGCAGTCTAAATGCTGATTCAGTGAGGAAATGGTTTTTTTTTTTTTCTTATTGTTGGAAAACATTCTTGAAAGGAGTAGGAAGGTGAAAGAGGAACTTGGCCACTCCATCAACATCAGGGGATTCTCCCAAGTGACTCTATCCATCCTACAAAATCTTACTCTGCAGTATTGCTTCCTTCCCAGGGAGTCCCCTTCTCATCTCCGTTTATACTTGGCCACTCTCTGGGAGGAAAGCTGAGCCACATGCCTAAAATTGTCAAGGATTAGCCCTGGTGGGCTGCTGCCTCCTTCCCTCAACAACATAGGAGTGATCCATGGACCACTTCCAGAATCTAGTTAAGGTTTTATCCCACAAATTGCAGTATTTCTTCTTCCTTGTAAAATTAGCCAGGCAATTATCCTTCCTTCTTGATTGAGGCTCTTTTTGGGGGGAAAAAAATCTCTTCTCCGTAGCCTTTCACTTTGCTGGCCACTAACTATAGCTCCAGGGATCCCTATGGGCTAATTTGTCCTCCAGAGTGCACCCACACACCAATGTTTCCAGCTAAGGACCCCACTGTTTTCCATCAGCTGATTCTTGGAGTCATCTGGGTGAAGACCTACAACAACAGCAAAAAAAGAACGCCCAGCTCCTGCATAACCTGTGCCTCAGGCAGGGTTTGGAGCAAGAAATGAGTGCTCATCTAGTGGCTGCTGCCCTGATCTCTGTCCCCAAGACAGCTATTTAGCTATTCAAAGTTCTCACAGGTTTATCTGCATGGTGTACAGCTGCTCTCTGATTGCTGCATAAATATTTCCATTATAACTCAGTCCTTGGAGACAAATTACAAAATTTGTCCCTTCCTCCTTCCTGTTCCGATGTGGAATGAGGTTTGTCTAGAAAGTGCTCTGAGGATTAAAGTTACTTTGTAATGCCAAATTCAGGTATAAGTTGCCAAAGGTCTTCTTTGCATAAAGGATTTTCAAGCAGAGACAAGCTGAAATTTGCTATTTGCAGCACAGTAAAACAATCCCCAGCAGAATATTATTCAGTGCTCAGGTTTCATCATTTTATAATTTCATCTGTCTGTATTTTGATAGTCAATTCCCAGTGTTCAACTCAAGACCCTCTGGTGCATTGTAATGTTCTCATTCCTCCATTATGCCCCCATTGCAACTTTCCTAATCAAATCTTTCCTCATCGCTCCTTCTCAGCCTGAACCTCGTCTCTTTTCCTTTAATACTTGCATGAGTTGGGAGCACTGGAATTTTACATTCCAGGTCAAATATTTTTGTTGATTTGTTTTGCTTGCTTTGACAGAGGACCCTTGCGATTGTACATTCTACTGTCCTTCTGGTCTCCCAGGTAACACAGGCAGGGCGGCTCCTTCCCCACCAGGGATGCCCACTCGGCATACTTCACTGCAGAGACAACAATGTATATTTTTTCAAAATAGAGCAAAGTTACAGAAAAGAGCTATTGTAAAATAAAGCTTGGCTACGTAACACACATTTGTGTTCCTTCCCTGTTGTTCTTTAATAGTGCAGATTACATTAATCCTTTCTCAAATCCCAACATCAGAGCTGCTGCTGAGCGCAGCCCAGGCATTCCATTTTTGGTTGGTTTGCAGTCAGTTATCCCAGCTGCTGACAGGTGCTCAGCCCAAAGTGAACCAAAGTTCCTGAAGTCAGATGACTGTAGCGTGTAGAAGAGAGAGCCAAACCTGCATCATCAGAGTTTTCAGGTGTCTACCATGTTGTTTGCTTCATGATCCTTGATTCCAAACTGCTTTCTATATTCAATGCTCTTTCCCAACACAGGGAGAGCAGTGCACGTGGGACTGGCATGGAAGCATGGGAAAAGAGTGAAGTCAAACAAGGGAAAAAGCCTCTGGATTTTGTTTTCATTCTACAGCATGCTGATTCATATCTCAAGTTTTGGTGGATTTAAGATGTTCATAGATGTTCTAGCCCCTTCTTACCTCCATTGCAGCAAAGGAATGTCGTCTTCATAAGTATTGAAGGCATAAATATACTGAAGAATATACATACAACTATTGTTTTTCCTGCCCTCACATACCAGAGACTTCTGGACTCGCTGAACTAAAAACACTTAAACCAAATGGCTTCTTACAGAAAGGGCAACAGTCGTTTTCCAAAGGTTCCAAAATTTACTTAGCTTGTAGTGACTGCAGCCAGTTGCTGAGTCTGTGTTGAGCAATCAAGATGTTCATAACCCAAAGCTACTATGCACTTCTTGTTTTCTTTTCCCTTGGAAAAAAAAAAAAAAAAGCATGTGTTATACTGTACTTTCTTCCATTCCTCTTTTTACTCTGGTGAGAATATCACATCAACAAAGGTTGTTCAGTCTCTTCTTAACTCTTTTCTTACTGCCTGCCTGAAAACCATGGTCTGTGGCTGCTTTGTGTTCCCATGTGCAGGGTTGTGGCTGGGGCAACCTGCTCCCTGGAACGGTGTCCCAGCAAAGATTTGCTGTGGGGACATCTTGATAGGAATAACAGGACTTTCAGAAGAGCGTAAGATTAGCATCAATGTTTCTTCTCATTGCTGTTGTGTTCACTAAGACAAACAGGTCCTGAACATGTGGATAAAACTCAAAGAGATTGACAGCAAGATTTCTCAAGTCACATGCATTGCTTGTAAGATGGAAAGTGTTTGACACCTACTCCTCCAAAGCCAGGCTTACATTTCAGCAGTTGTAGCACAAATTACCATTTTATGTGAATATCTGAGAGAACAGAAAGGGCTGTTGCATGCTGAGGAAATGCAACAACTCTGTGAGGGCAGACAATAAGCCTTCAGTGCTTTTCACATCAGAGAGTCTCGGATTACTCACTTGCAAGAAGGTGAATTCTGGACACCTTCTGGCATAGCAAAGTCAAATGTCTGAAGACTTGGGTAAGGCAAAACAGGACATGTGGGACACGTTTTAGGAGGATGGACAAAATCCTGTTGGAAGCGGTTATGATAGGAATGGGTGAGTAACCCATGAGCAGATCATTGTCAGAGGTAGGTTTTAGTGTGTTTAGTCCCCTGATCTAACTACTGCAAGAAGTTAGGGTGAGGGAGGTGATCCTCTTCCTCTTCTCTGGCCTGGTGAGGCCATGCCTGGAATATGCCGTATTCAATTCCGGCCTCCCCTGTTCAAAACAGGCAGGGATGTTCTAGAAAGAGGCTGGCAGAGATGATGAGGGACCAGCAGCATTTCTTGTTTGAGAAAGGATGAGAGACCTAGGAGCTGTGAAGCTGCCACTATTTTGCATGGAAACCAAGGGCCCACGCCCACAGGCGCCCATGAGGCGGTGACCGTGATGTCACAGTGGGTGTCACAGAGCAGCCATTGTGACACGTGAAGCTTGGAGCAGAGCAAAGGCTGCCGGGCTCAGGCCGAGTGTCAGTGCGGCCTGGTGAGGCGCAGAGAGAGCAAGGACTCTTGCAGTGCTCGCTATCTCGCAGTGCTCGCTATCAACGCACAATGATGTCCAATAGGAAGAGGAAGTTCTCCGGCTCGGAGGAGCCAGGTGAGAGCACAGCATCCCTGAGCACAGCTCCTGCCAACAGGCAGAGGAGAGCTGGGGAGTGTGCCTGTGGATGAGGGGCAAGGAAGGAGCAGGCAGGGGCTCCCACCCACCATGCAGCAGAGTCCCTTCGCTGCTTGGCAAGGAGCCCAGCTTGGGCTGTGCTGCTTGCTGGCACTACTGAGCCTTCATTGGGAACTTTTCCACCACCACGACCAGCTCTGCCCCTCAGCCAGCATGGCAGGCACAGAGCAGGACCCTGGGGACGGCCCTTAGGGATACCTGGTTCTAAGGTGCTCACTGCTGCTCACATTTGTTCTCTTCTCTTCAGCATGCATGCTTTGTGGCCGGGCAGAAGATGACCCAAACATCTTTGGGCGCACATTTGGCCAGGGTTGGATTCGTGTCCATGAGTTCTGCTTGGTGAGTTCCCTCAAGGGCTCCTTCCAAATTACTGCCAGAGATACTCCCCTTCCTGTCCTAATGAGAGCCTGCTCTTTTCTCTCCTACAGATTTTTGCCAACATCTTCTATGCACTCTCAAGAGGTGGAACTGTGGGCATCCCCCTTGATGACATCACACGCAAAGTCAAGCAGGCAAACCAGAAGGTGAGGATCTGAACGGAGCAGGCAGATTTGTCCCCCAGGGGGCTCACACCAGCTTAGCCTGGACACCAAGAAAGCAATTGGAACTTTTCCAACCCCCTTCCAGGACAAAGTCCTGCAATTGGAGATGCGCCTGTCTGCCAGGCAGCTTTGTAGAGTGTGACCAAGCAATTCCCACACCCTGTGCCCTGCCCAGAGGTCTGGGGCCGGCTGCAGAGGCCCTGAGCCTGCTGCTGATGGGGCTGTTCTGCTCTTTCCAGCAATGCTGTGTTTGTGGAGAGAGGGGCGCTGCCATCACGTGCACAGAGAGCGGCTGTAAACGAAGCTTCCACCTGCCGTGTGCCAAGGACGGGCAGTGCATCACCCAGTTCTTTGGGCTGCACAGGTAAGGGCTGTCAGCAGCAGCCAAGCCAGGGAGGATCCCGCAGTGACAGCTCCCAGCAGCCTGCCAGAGCCAGAGACAGGGCCTGGGGCTCCTTTGCAGTCCTCTGCCTTCCACCCATCACTTCTCAGCATGCCCATCCCTTCCATCTTCCCCCAGGTCCTACTGCTTTGAGCACTGCCCTCGACAGACAGCAGTGACAGCTTCAGCAACCGGCACCCGCTGCGCCATCTGCCAGGAGACCGTGGGGAACATTGCATCCTACCACACCCTGACGTGCTCGGTTTGCAAACATGCCTGGTTCCACCGGGGCTGCATCCAGGTAGGAGTCCTCCCCTCACCCTGCAGGCACGCTTAGTGCTAAGCAGCACCAGGCACTGCTCACGCTCACTCTGCTTGTTCTTCTCCTGCAGCAACAGGCCTTGAATGATGGCAAGGAGTTCTTCCGCTGCCCTGTCTGTCAAGACAATGCTCTTTTCTGCATAGAGATGTCCATCCTCAGGATCCAAATCCCAGACAGGTTGGTGTCCTTCTGCCAAACCATGCAGATGAGAAGGCGTGAGCACTGGGCCTGCCAGGGAGTGTCTTGGCAATCCTGGCCTTTGGCCGTCACAGGAGCACGTGCCTCAGCTTCGTGGAGAAGCTGGAAATGGGGTTGGGGTGGATGAGAGGGGATAACCTTGGATCTGATGCTGGCAGTGCTGGGGCCTCATCACTTTCCCTTCCTTCTCTTGTAGAAGACCAGAACAGGAGGACAATGATGCATATGCATCACTTCTACAGAGGCACAGGCGCTGTGATGCCATCAGGTGCCGTCACCCTGAAGGCAGGGAGCTGGCAGAAGAAGAGGGGTGAGTTACCGCAGCAGCTCTCTGTAGCTCTGTGGAGGATCTCAGCCTCAGCACAGGCTGGGAGAGCAAGGACTGAGCAGCAGAGATGTGCTGTGCTGGGCTCTCTCTGGCTTGACTCACTTGGTCCTCACAGCCACAACCCCCTTGCTTCCCCAGGCCCTGGCAGCTGCTCCTGTGCAGCTCCTGTGCTGCTGAGGGCACCCACCGACAGTGCTCCTACCTGAACAACACAACAGCCATGTGGGAGTGTGACAGATGTGCTGGCCTGGGTACCGGTAAGAGGCAATCAGCCACATGGCTCCGCACTGGGGCCAGGCAAGGCCTTGCAGCAAGTGCTCGGGGCAGCTTTGCCAGAGTCTCTCTGCCCCAGGAGGGATGTCAGCTTCTCCCAACTCAGGGGTTCACCCTGCTGACTTGCCCGTCTCCCCTTACAGCTTCCAGCAGCAACTCAGAGCTTGCCAGCTCCAGCACTGCCAACCAGGACAGGCAAGGGCCGTCCCACAGCCTCCAGGAACATGAGGACAGCTGTTCCAGCCCCACTAGCCAGGCAGCATCAGAGCCATCATACAGTTCCCAGCTGCCAGAGCTCAGCTGCCAGAGTAGAGAGCTGGGGACAGAACACAGGACAATCCCCTCATGTTTACCAGAGGATATGGCTGAGCAGCACCAAAGATGCCACAGGAGCAGACAAACAGCAGCCCAAAGTGCTGAGTGTTGCTCCCGCACCTCCACCAGAAGGGGCACATCAGAATCTTCCAGAGAGTCCCCAGGGGCTGCACGCAGGAGGCGTCCCAGGCAGCGGAGAACAAGCCGCACACCAAGCCGCACACGAAGCCGCTCCCCGCTGCAAGGTCGGGCCTCGAGTTCCCAGAGCCGGCCAAGAAGACGCCATGGGAGCAGAGGAACACCAGCTCCTCGTGATCAGAGCAGCATCCGCAGATCAGCAAGATTGGCAACACTGAGGTCCTCGAGGGCTTCCCCAGTGCCTGAACAAAGGGGACGATCTGTGCATGGAGCGCAGGCTCTCACAGAAAGCCGTTACCCAGCAAGGTGCAGAGATTAAAATTTCCACAGCTGGCTCTGAGTAAGCAGCAGGAGCCAGTCCCACCACCGGAGACCACCTCAGGCATAAAGCTACTCCTAGATCCAACATCAGAGCCAAAGTCTGTGCAGCCAGCCCCCAGGCCTGCACAGGAGTAGCCATGTACCAGTCCCACCTGGTTTCTCTGGTCCCGAGTCCAACTGTATGGGAACTGCTGAATCACAGCCCAAACCACTGATTGACCAGCTAGGAAAAGGACTTGGTCAGCCCTAGAAGCACAGCTGAAGGCAGTTCAGCTGTGCAACCAGAAGGGGTGGAGTCTGGCTGCCCCTCTCTTAGACCCCATTTAAGGGCTGACTGCCACTGGGGAAGGTTCTCTTTCCAGAGATTTCTCCTTGGTGAAGCTTTTTCCTACAAACCTACAATTTTCTGATACAGGCAAGCAATCTTCTTGCCTTCCTTTACAGCACCTCTCTATCGTGCCAGTCTGTTTGTTATCATACCTTTGTTATAACACTTTCCCATTGTATCAATCTGTCAAATTGCTACACCAACACAATAAAGATCAGAAATTCCCCCACCCACATTTGTCAGTGTCATCCTTACCTACTTCTGCTGAGGTGGGCAGAGGGACCTTGACAGCAGGGTTGTCTCCTTCTCAGACTACACTTCACCTGGCACAGTTTTGGCCAGATCCCCAGTGGGGCGCAATGTCCAAATTCCTCAAGAACCCAAGCTGCACTGGCAGGGGCAGTCCGGATTTGGGCTTGGGTGTGTGTCAGCCTCAGGGCTGCTTCCAGCTGTGTAAGAGCTTGTGCTTTCCTCCTGCATGTGGGCAGTGCTGTCAAGTCTGATGGCTGGTTCTGGTCTGGGGATGCTGCAAACCTTGGGCGTGTGCGGTCAGGGCAGGGCAGGGCAGCTCTCTGGGCTGAGCTGTGGCCTTGCCAGGCCAGATGCCTCCACCAGGCTGGTTGCACCCACACATGCTGATGGACTTGTAAGAAGTGATTGCTGAACCACTCTCTGTCCCCTTTGAAAAGTCAGTGTTCTGGTTTCAGCTGGAACAGTTGACTTTTCTTCCTAGTGTCCAGTATGATGCTGAGTTTCAGCTTTAGGAGAAAAAAAAACATTGATCAAACACCAGTATTTTAGTTGCTGCTGAGCAGTTCTGCACAGATCCAAGGACATTCCTCTTTCTCCTTCTGTCCTCCCAGCGAGGGGGACAAGCTGAGCTCAAGATGCTGGGAGGAGACAGAACCAGGACTGGCCGAAAGGATATTTCATACAATGTGAAGTAGGTTGAAAAACAATGAACCCACGAGAGTTGGTTGAGGGAGACAGGCAACACTGGGGGACAAGCCAAACACCAATGGGAGGCAGTGAGCAATTGCATTGTGTTGCTGAAGCAATTGCTGGAGCTGACAGCAACTTGAAAGTTTTTTTCTTCTCCAAATCTGCAAAATTTGAACAAAAATTTATCATACTGCTGGTAAGTCTTCCCTATCCCCAAAAAGGAAGGAAAACCAAAAGAAAACGAAACAAAAGATCACCATTCCAACCAGTGACACATTCAAAGTAGGGATGATAAAGTATTTTTGTTAATTGTATTATACTACATTTTGTTTTATAGTTCTACAATATATTACACTTCATTTTCCAGCTGAGCATTTAATTCTGCCTTACCAGTCTTTAAATGGGAATTGCAAAACCATTGGTGCATCATTTGTAAAGTACTTAGTTACACCACCATCTCTAGGATCCTCTATGATGCAGTGACAGCGTAAATTCCTGCAACATCATCAAGAAAATCTGCAAGGTACCCATCATTCTCACTTTCTCGAATGCCACCTGGACCATGCTTTTGTAAGGTTATGGGCTGGCTCTACTCTACGGACATCTGGTGATCAACTGCACAAAATGCTGAAGATGGAGTGATCTTCCATCCTAACCTGTATATTTAAAGCCTGCGTTAGTGGTGGTGGTGTTATGGAGTTCATCTGTAAATATCTCTATTGGTGATCTTGTCCTTGCTGACAACAGAGGCAAAAAGTCTATCTTCAACCTTACTCAGTGCCTGCATAATACTGCTGTACAGTGAAGTTGATTTAAGTCTGTTCCTGTAGATTTGGTTCTTCTGTTGGCTCTTTATCACAGTGCTTTTAAAGCTACAGTGCTATAGCTGTGTGAGTATCCTCAGTCTTTGACTATCCACCAACACCTCACAATAATATTCTGGAGTTATCACTACTGCTATCTTAGAGACTAGTTACTATTGAACAGTTTCCAATCTGAATCTCAAAGTGGTTTGATAGCTGTATCCAAAGATTTCATCTTTGTCCAGCCTGAGATTTAGCTTGGTGACCACTTCTGCTGGGTTCATCTTGCCCACCAAGCTGGAACAGTTCAGAGGGGATAGGTGGTAACTTTCTCGGACGAGGGGAAAATCAGACTTTCACTATCACCAAAACTGTGGTGCTGAGCCTGACTGAATCGTGGTGTCCTACACCTGAAGCAGGGGCACAGCGGATCAGAGTGGCAATACCAAATGGAGCTGGTTGGCTCCATTGAAGGTAGCATAGAGTGTACATGACTAAAAACCACTGCAGCACGTTTGGAACATGCTGCTGTTTTGGCACTGTGGTATTGCGTTGCAAAAAGCTGGCAGGTTTTTTCCATGTAAGAAGAATCCCGAAAGCAAATGCTTTGCTGGTATTTTGTCTCAGGATAAAGAAGGTGCCAGTCAAACAGATTTTGACCATGCAAAGACTGTGGAAAGCCCTTTCAGGGATACTGACTCCATGAAACGTCCTTCTACATAGCAGTCCTCCAACTGTATTGAGCTGTGTGCTAAGTCTAGATCATTCCAGTTCTTTTTGGCAGCAAAACTTTAAGATTGTAAGGTAAATGGGGCTTCTTGTTTGTTAGATTTTAGTACCTATGGGTCAGAGTTTCTTCTGTAGAATGGGGATTATGATGTTTTTAGTGATACATTTACTTTGTCAAAAGTGCTATAGAAATACAACTGTCATGTTATCTCTCTCTTATATAACTTCGTAGTAAATTAAATTTAAAGCCAAAAGGACTGTTCGGCTGCTGAAAGTTATGCCCCATTTTCTGCTAGGGAAGAGTTGAAATTTGTTGTCTGATGTCTCATTTTGGATGGATTGGTTGCACTTCTGTTTATCTTGAAAATACAAGAGTGTGCTGCTGATACTGGGAGTTTTACTTCAGTTCAATTTTTTTGTCGTTTCTCTTGCCTGAAGCTTCTAGAACACAAAGCAGAAAATTTCCAAAGCTGCGTTCAGTAGAATGAAATACTTCTGTGAGTAGTCGGATTTATGAAATCTTATCTCCGGTGGGTTTGTATGCTTGTCTGTCTATAGATTAATAAGGTGGATCTCCGATCTTTCTTTTTTTTTTTTCTTTTTTTTTTTTCCTGGGGTTGAGGCATTTGTTACCTCTCTCTCCCACATGAATTTTCTGGAATAGAACGGCCCTGCTTGCAGTTCTGGATCAGTGCAGAGCAGACAAGAATTTGGGAATTTCTTTTCTATCTGGCCCTGTATTTGCATCCAAATCATATCAGGTATCAGCTGGGGCAAGTACTGACACCCAAGAGATTCACAAATCATTATGAGGAGAGTGATGGTCATAAAGTCATAGAATCATAGAATCATAGAATGGCCACAATGAAAAGGACCACAATGATCATCCAGTTTCAACTCCCTGCTGTGTGCAGGGTTGCCAACCAGCAGACCAGGCTGCCCAGAGCCACATCCAGCCTGGCCTTGAATGCCTCCAGGGATCCAGGGGCATCCACAGCCTCCTTGGGCAACCTGCTCCAGTGTGTCACCACCGTCTGTGTGAAAAACTTCCTCCTAATATCTAACCTAAACTGTCTCAGTTTAAAACCATTCATCCTTGTCCTATCACTGTCCACCCTCGTAAACAGTCGTAAAGGGGGTGAGAAAGATATGGCGAACTTATGCAGCTGGGTCAAAATGAGCAGCTTATGGTAAGGCTCTAAGAGTTAGGCAAAAAAAGAACCAACCACCACCTAATTAGGAATGTGAGTGAGTGAGTGAGTGAGTGAGAGGGTGTGAATGTGTTGCTTCTTGTATTTCATACACACCTAACGTTTTCCATGGTTCCCAATGAAGATAATTATTAAAGATTTGAATTTCAACGGGCTGTCTTGCAGCTTGAAGTTGTTTACAAGATGAAGAAGGGCAGGTTGAAGATTTTTAGTTTGGAAGGTGGCTGAGGACCACTGGATGCTGGTCTCATCAAATTGGAGGTTTGTCTTAATTGTAAGATGAAGGTGAATGCAGGTATAGGGGCTCGAGCTTCACACAAAACTTTAACTATGTTAAGACAGAACTAGATAGGAAAGCTGCTCCTCTACCTTGCAGTTTATTGCTTCTCAAGGAATGGCATCAATTAATAAAATGAGTAAAACAAAAAATTATTCCATGAGATCCACCGCAGAGTTTCTGTCCCTTCTTCATTCTGGCCACACATCATTCTGGCCAATTCAGAAACTGCATGAACAAAGGGGTTCAGTCTTTCTGTACTGTTACAATTTATACAATTGCAAAAAAGAACATTCCCTGTAAAAGTGGAACAATTAAAGGGTATAAAAAATAAACCCCAAATAATACCCCCCCCCCCCCCAGAATTTATTTTCTTTTAAGTTTACAGATGGAGAACAACTTGTCTTCTTTCACAGTCTATTACCTGCACATGAAGAGACTTCTGGTCTGATTTCCTCCAGGGAATGTGTTGCTATAGGTTTTATGGTTTTGACACTGAAAATGCAACAGTACTTTTCCATTTTGCTTAGTCTTAGTTACTGTTTTTCCTGCAGCAGCTGTGCACAGTGCAATGTGGGAAATGTCAGGATGCAAAAAAAAACAAAAAGAAAGTATTTGAATCGTATCTCTGTCTTGATTTCCAGCATTAAGCCAACCGATTTCTTCCCCTACCCCATGGGTTGCTTACTTTTTATTCACAAGCTGAAACAGAAGGAATTGATGGCAGCTATGTGCTAAGAAAAGATTCTGATTGTTGTCGTACCAAAAAAAATCCAGAACCACCACCACCAAGCACAACAGAACCCTAATCCCAAATACCTTTACCTGATTTATGTAATGGTAAACAGGAATAGCAAGGTTGCTCAGACAAGTTACTAACTGTAAGATCAAATTCTGTTGTTTCTGAACACTTTTTCCAGTTCTTATTCAGGCAAATTGATAAGGACTGCTAAAGCTTCACAAGGAAAACAGAATTAAGGTGCCTGGAACCTAATTCTTTGACCACGGACCAATTTCAGTGCAATGCATCTGATGTTGAGGTGACAAACTCTGCAAGAAGAGGTAATGTATTTTATTAAACCAACTGATATATGCCAACTGAATTATGCTTGCTTTATACAAGTAAAATTGCTCCTACAGTCTTAGATGAAAACTCTGGCCTTCACTCTGCTCCCATTTACACTGATGCAAGTCAAAGGTAATTTCATTATAACTAATATAAACACATTACAGACAAGGCAATTACATCTGTAAGATATTGGTGTGAGCTGAACCCCTCTCTCTGACATTTCTGCTAATGTCTGAAATGAAATAATGATGTAAAATGTGATATTTGTAAAATGTTAAACCTGTAGATGAGAGGCTCATGTGCACAATGATGCTGAGCATTGGTAAATCGGACTTAGGAACTCACTAGTAACACCTAGAAATCACCAATGGATAAATTGAGGAAAGCGATTTTAGGTAATATTATCTTGAGAAAGGGGTAAAGAAATCCCCTAATGTCACACATATCATGTGGGTAAAACTGATTTTTTTGCCAGAGAAGATTTTAAAGGTACACATTTGCAGAAGAATTGGCCTGTCTGTGCCTATTTAGGTTTCCTTTGGGCACAGCTCTCTGTCTCTGCAGTGGTCCCATAGGTGACTGGTGCAGTGGATGAGAAGCAGCACAGTATATGTTTATCTCTGCAATTTTTTGCTTGCTTTCCTTACAATGGGAGGATAGGGAGGAGGAGTGAAGCCATCTGTGCTTCCCTGTTCTTTCTAGTTTGGAGCAATACTCTACGAAGCCCCTCTGAAATCTACAGACACATTACGATACTGATTAGTTCATCATCGTGAAAACGTTTTGGCCACTTTGGAATATATTTTATTTGAGTACTGAAGGAAGCATGCATTTTACCAGATATACCTCAAATTACTAAAATGTTATTCAAAAAAAAAAAAAAAAAAAAAAAAAAAAAAGTGAAAAGAAAATGTATATTTCTGTTTCCCTACCTCCGATCCATTTATTTTTCAGTCTGAAATCTTTCTCACAAGAGAAAGTGCTGTTCTTTTAGCCCTTTATCCTCACTGCGTCATATATTATTAATGAAGAAAGACCTTGGTGTTCATGTGCTGCATCAGTCTCTACTGTGTTGATTTTTTTTCTTCTTTCATTTAAAGAAAACAGATTCACATCTATGCCTCTGCTTCATTCGGGAGCGAATGGATTGTAAAAGGAACAAGGCTGTGGTTCAGCAATTAGGGCTCAGGACTCAAAGTCACCGAGGTTACATTTCTGGGGGAGATTTGCCATTGTTTGTTCTGATGAAGTTCCTCCTAAATGAGGTGATTATTGTAGCTGTCAGGAATTCAAAGGTAGGACACATTGATTTCATCCTCACTGCAATCTCCAGGACGTGCCGGTACAGAGCAGTCAGTGTGAATTGCCAATTAAGAAAAAAACAATATTGGCAAGTTCGAGGAAAAAACTCCCTCCAGCCAGTGCATAAAACTCCTGCCATTCAAATCACCATCCTCAAGCAAAAGCATTAGCAAACCTGCCCAGAAAATTGACAAAGATAAGCTTTTTTTGGCGAAGCTAGATAGCAAATTGTAGCACTGAGAGCCTGTCTGCACAGAGGAAATGGAGCAGAACTGCTATAAAGGAATACACTTCATGTGCACAACCTATCTCAAGATAAAAATCATTTTGCTTTGGAATAATTTTTTTTCTGCTGTGAAAACACAGCAGTTATTCAGGAATGTCTTTTATTTCAGAATCAAAGTGCCTACACTTTAACATATTCTGCCATTTTTCTAATGAAAATAGATATAGTCACTCATAATATAAAGATGCTTCCACAATAGCTGCTGTGGAAATCTTCGCCTTGTAAATAAGACCTGGAAATACCATGTTTTCAATTACCTTATATTTCAAATACAGCATGTATAAATGGGTACAGTTGACCTACATGGAAATTTCAGCAGTTTTCCTGCAATTAAAAATAATTAATGCGTGGCTTTGTGCTGAAGAAACAGCTCCAAAATAGCAGCCAGGAATAGCATCTTTGACATGATGGAGTGAACTTGGTTTAGAGAATTCCTAGTGGCTATTAGTATCTGGATATCTATTACTACACTTGGTAGGGAATTTTTCTATTCTTTTAACAACAAGCCTGAGTCCTCAGTGATGCTTTCAACATGAGATCTATGAGCACTTAGGGGAGATATATTTACTGTACATTTGCAAATAGGGAAAGGCAGGTAAGAGTTGTAAGGTAACTTTTTTGATGCTGCCCCCAAAAATGACCTTTTATTTTCTAACCTCTGAATACAGCAGCATACACTTTTCTTTTTCTTGGTTTTTTTTTTTCTTCTTTTTTTTAAGGGAGATGGTACTGTGGCAAGACATGGAGCTTATGGATAGTAAAACAAGCGGACTAGACAAGGAGTTTGGCCTTCAGTAAGCATCAAAGATGCAGAAAGCTCCCAGCTGACTCACAAAAAGGAACTTAAAGAACTTTTAGTTCCAACTCCTAGCTGCGCCAATGAGTGGGCATGAAATTCAAATATAGTGGCACTGATGCCCTGGTAACTCCTTACAGATGTAATTGCAGTCTGTCAGTCCAAGGCCTCACCATGCTGTATAGAGTTGCAGTCAGATATTCAGCATAAAAATCTGATCATGTCTTTGTAGCACACTTCTACCAGCCCTCTCTTACCAGAGCAAAACATCCCTCTCTTCAGTCATACCTTAATCACATCCTCTCTTTTTGACATATGTCAGGATGTACATTTGTGAACAACTGCTTAGAAGAATAAAATTTCACCGGAAATCTATGACCAACACCTCGAGAGCTTGCTGAGCATTGCAGCCACCTGCATCAAACCAGAGCGGCGCGTTACTTTCACACATAGAAAGGCCAAATATCCCACTAGTTTAACGTTTCTGTTGCTCACTCTGGATTGTATAACACTGTACTCGTAGTGACTGACACGTTTTGTGTGTTTAAAATCCTACATGCAACCACAGCTGCCCCACTTGGCTGAGCTCACCCAGTGCCTCCATTTTGGGCTCCTGTCAGGGGAGTGGGCAAACTTGGCCATTTACACTTTAACATCCAGAACAAAAAATGCTTTCCCCAGTGAAAACAGCTTTTAACAGAGGCGACTGTTCTTATTCAGCGGGGTTTTAGAAAGATAAATTAAAATGAGAACAGCGGGAGGAACTGGCAAGAGCCACAACCCTGAGTCAGCCTGAGGCTGAAGCGGAGCCAGAGAAACTACAACTCCCAGAAGGCACCGCGGCGCCCCCGCACGATGCATAGAAGGCTGATAGCTCCCGCCCCGCCTATCCCCAGCCTCCTATTGGGTGGAAGCCCGCTTCCCTTTCTTCTGATTGGCCGCGGCGCCAGTAGGGGCGGTTGCTCTGTGTTTGAAGGGGGCGCAAGATGGCGGCGGGAGAGGCGGTGGGACGCTACCGGAGCAGCATGAGCAGAAGCAAGGACCCTTCGGGGCTGCTCATCTCTGTGATCAGGTATGGGCGGCGCGGCTCCGCTCCGCAGCCTCCCGGCCCGCCCTCAGGACCGACCTTGGGCTGTATGTTGGCCCTGTGGTGCTGTGGGGGCCTTCAGCGCTCGGGGTCGTTGCGGGGCCCGGACAGCTGTGAGGAGGGCTCCGGGCTGGAGTGGGGCCTCCTCTGCTGTGCCTTCATGAGCCCTTATCTGCTGTGTTGCGTTCATCTCAGAGCACTCCCAGGGTAAGGAGGGGATATAGAGGAAGCCTTGAAGGTACTCAGAGGATGGAGTACTTCTTCTGTGAATAAGTGCTGAGAGAGATGGGGCTTTTTAGCCTGGGGAAGAGAAAGCCCCAGAGAGACCTAATAGTGTCCTTCTAGCACCTAAAAGCAGCCTGAGGAAATTGGGAATAGTTCCTCTGTTAGGGGGCGTAGTGATGGCACAAGGGGTAATGGGCTCACACAGAAAAGAGGTGGATATAATTTAGGGATCTGGAAGAAATTCTTTACAATGAAGGTGGTGAGGCCACTGCACAGCTGCCTATAGAAGCTGTGGGTGCCCCATCCCTGCAGGTGTTCAGGGCCAGTTTGGGTGGTGATGCCCAGTTTGGGCATTCTAATCCTGCTCTGATTGTCCATACTTATGGCAGGAAGTTAGAAGTAGGAAATTTTTGAAGTGTTTTCCAACCCAAGACATTCTGTGATTCTGCTCCACTTTCCACTGCTTTTCAGCATCAGGAGGTCAGAGGAGTGATGCCTGCAGTGAGCACCAGCTTTGTGCCATACTGGGAGAGTCAAGTCACTGTCTCCCTACTGCTGTAGAATCTGTAGTTTACCCTCATCTGCCAACACACAGCAGCACTGAGTATAAAATAAGGCTGGTTGGAAATAAGGCTTGCCTAGGAAGTCCAATATGTGTTCGGGTTGGATATTAGGAAAAGTTTCTCCTCAGAAAGAGTGCTGAGGCATTGGAACAGGCTGCTCAGGGAGGTGGGGGAGTCCCTGGAGGTGTTCAAGGAACATGGAGATTTGGCACTGGGGGACGTTGTTTAGTGGACATGGTGGGGATAGGTTGGTGTTTGGACTAAATGATCTTCGTGGTCTTTTCCAGCCTTAATGGTTCTGTTGTTCTATGATTCCATCCTATTTTAGGATGTGAGACTGGAAAAATCGCCACCTCAGCTTGTCTCACCACCACGCAGGAGTGACAAGAAAGCAGTTGTCTAGTCATGTTCTGGCTATTGATTTTTGTCTGCCCTTGTTCCTACTCTTTCCTCTCCTGGAATCTGATTCGGTGATTATCTCGGAGCCAAGCAAGACCTGGCATTTTTCTATTTCCCTCGGTGCCTTTTCTAAATGCTTTTAAGTCTTTTTTTGGGTAGCTTCCGCTCAGTGAGTTGGCAGCTGATTTCCCACACTTAAGCTTTGAAATACTGGCTTTATATACACTTTCCAAAGTGGCTGTAGGCAGCAGGCAGTCCTACTACAGTGATACTGTGCCTTGTAAAGAACTTACAAACTTCAGTTCCTACGTTGCAAGAGACTGCTTTGCTAGAAACTGTAGTTATTCTACTTTGGAGAAGTTATATTAGTAATGATTCAGTATCCAGCATGTGGAATGATCTAATACTGAAGTACTGTATGAATCATAGTGTTTAGGGCTGAATTCTATTCCTTTTCATTATTTCTTTAAGCTGGTCTTTCAGATCTTGCAAACTCGAGGTAGATGGCAACCAAACAAAGCAGCTGCTTCACTGCTCTGCTTGGCCTTCCCAGCTTCATGAGTGCGGTCTTGGAAGTGTGTGCTAATAAGTAACAAATCCTGGATCCTGCTTTTTTTTTTTTCTTTTTTCTTTTTTACTGTGCACTCGTGCCTTGTATTTGGCCAGAGGTAGGTAGTGTGAATTTCAAGTGTGTTGTGCTTATTATTTCTTTGTCAACCTCAAGTTTGAGTAAGTGGGAGAGGCAGTGTGGTAGGTCCTAGCTGGGTAATTTTCACTTACAGAAAATACAGTAATTTGTGAGCAGTGGAAGAATGAATAGTATAAATTAATTGCTGCAGCATTTCCTCTAATAACCTTTTTTTTTCTTTTTTTTTTTTTTTTTTCATATTTTCTATAATTTCAACAGAAATTTAAGGAGAATTGTAAGGGATTTCCAGATTTCTACTTCAATTCATGTAAACTTCTTGTTTCTTTTATAATATAAAATGAGAATGAGCGTTCTTACTGAGTAGGAACTCATATTTGTCTAGTAATCTTTGGCTTACATGCTCTGATACCTTAGTCAGCCGATGTCCAGTATTTAGATGCAACACTGAGGATGTTGACTTTATTAAATTAGAATTATTTAATAGAACAGCCTGAGAACTGAACCTCCAAAATGTAATTAGAACTTAGTGTGGATGTGGAGGCTCTTTGCAGTGCTTGCTGGGTAGCGTTGAGCCAGACCATGAAAGCCTGAAGGTAGAACTGATTGCAAAGGAAGGAAGAACTGTTGTGTTAATATTCACATTTCCTACAGTTAGCCAAGTACAAAAAGCAAATGGCACGTGAAGGAATTTCAATCAGTTTTCTCTGTTGTTTTCGTATGGCAGCTTGGGTGAATATGAGCCTTTTAAGCAACAGGTGACATTACTTGCTGTTTTGTGTGTTCATAAAATACTGCTGGCAAACAACTTCAGAGCTGGGTGAGTTGAATTTGTCTTTCTTATGACTTAGCTTCAGAAAGATATCAAAAGCCTTAACGGTCTGCTGTTGGTTTGAAATGCTATGAAGTTTTCTTTTCTTGATGCTTTTTATTTCCAAAACATTTAAGTGGAGTTTCTCCTGCCGGTCCTCTTCGTTTTATGCTTGCGTTCCTCTTTATTTAGAAGGCTGTTCATTTCTGTTGTTGCCCTGCAAAATACCCTTGAAAGGAAACGATGTATGAAAAGCAGAAGAACTTTGTGTTCTTCTGCAGTAAATAAACAAAAGCAGAGTGGCAAGTTGGACTTGACGCTCTCAATGACACCAAGTGGATGCAGACAACAGCAAGCTGAGCAGTGCAGTCAATACGTCAGAAAGAAGGAAAGCCATCCAGAGGGACCTGGACAAACTGGATACGTAGGCTCATGTGAACCCAGTGAGGTTCAGCAAGGCCAGGACAATCCCAGGTATTTATACAAACTGGGGAAGAAGTCCTTGAGAGCAGCCCTGTGGAGGAGGACTCGGGGGTCCTCATTGTGACTTTCCAATATTTGAAGGGAGCGTATAAACAGGAGGGGGAAAGACTGTTTATGAGGGTAGATGGTGATAGGACAAGGGGGAATGGTTTTAAACTCAGATGGGGAGGTTTAGGTTAGATATTTGGAGGAAGTTTTTCACACAGAGGGTGGTGACACACTGGAACAGGTTGCCCAAGGAGGCTGTGGATGCCCCTGGATCCCTGAAGGCATTCAAGGCCAGGCTGGATGTGGCTCTGGGCAGCCTGGTCTGGTGGTTGGCGTTGATCATTGCGGTCCTTTTCAACCCAGGCCATTTTATGATCTCCAGAGGTTTTTCCCAACCCCTGTGATTCTGTCACTCTTTGTGCATTATGGTATTTTACTCTTTAACAGCAAAGATGGTGAAAGGGAATGTTTAGATTAGATCAGCAAATGTGTTTAATTTGCAGAGCACATTGAGATGTGGAGATAAGTGTTTTATAAATATAAATGATTTTATTAATGAAGGGATAATTTCTTATATTTACTCAAGCTAAGTAGCTCTCTATTGGAAGGGACTAATTTACTTTGCTCTGATGTAGATTTTGGGACTCAGTATTTGCATCACCAGACTTGGAAGGAGCAGAACTGGTCTTGCTTTCAGTGAGAGTATTTGGGGCCAAATCTCTGACAAAGCTAGGATGTATTACAGCAGCAGAGAAATTGAGAAATGGCATTTTTTTGTAAGCTGGGCTCTGATTGAAAATAATAGTGCTGTTGCTGCAGGGAAATTAGGAAATTAACTCCATAAAAGCCAGTATATATGTCCCAGCTCAGTGTTAAGAGTTTGCTTTGTCACACCAGTTGGCCATTCAGCTTTAAAAAGGAGTGTCAGAGTGTTTCTGAGGTCCTCTGACCCCACAGTAACACTCCTAAACTGTGTCTCTGTAAAAGGAAATGTGGACCCATCGCTCATCTCTGCAGTGTTGCCTTCCAGCTACTTTGTGTGCTGGTAATTGAGCTGAAGGAGGAAGCAGCAGGCACGGCCATCTCGCTTTTAGTCCCTTATCTGTCCCTGTGAAGTGTCAGCTTTTCCTGTTGCGTTGAGGAACACAATTGTTTTCTGGGAGTTGTTTCCTGCAGCAGGAGCCATGCGCTGAGCGAGTTCTCCTTGGTTCTCCAGTTGTTGCCAGGCTCCTGTATGGACTAACTAGGAAGAAGCTGTTTCCTGAGCGCAAGGAGTCACATTGCTTGGTAGCCAGAGCACAGAACTGAAGAAAAAGCCCTGTGGAGTGATGATAGCCCTGTGAAGCACATCTTGGAGAGGCGATTTCTGGCTCCCAAGTTGTGTGCGTGTGGTGCCTGTGCTCACGCAGTCTGGCTGAGTCGACACAGCAAGCTGTTGTGCTGAGGTCTCCTCTGTGGTCCTTGTAGTGTCTCATTGGCTCCAAAACCTAGTTGTACGTGTCCATCAATTGCAGTTCAAATCACTTAACCATGGCAGAACATATCTTACAGACCAGGAGTGAGTTGTTTTATGGTGTTATGCTGTGATTGTGTTTCAAGCCCAAGGCTACGGGAGCATCAGGATGATGCCATGCGTTCCTTCTATAGGAGAGCTGCCAGGAGTGAGTGATGTGTTCTTGGGTGCAGTGTATGTATGTTCATAGTAATACTCCTAAAAGTGGTAGAGAGTATTTGGGAATGTGATTGTTTGCACAGTGCACTAATAAAATCCCCAACTTTGCTGCTGCACGGGCTGTCTTTTTTCTTTATCCGGAGTCTTTGGGGGATATGGGAATCTCTTCAGTTTGCTGTTGTCCTCACACTGCTGAGA